GCTGTATGGCTTAGAGAAGATGACTTGACATCTCTGTATCTCGGCTTTCTCTTCTGTAAAGTGGGCACATAATTTGCTGTCTACTGCATCTGGTTGTACCACAGATGAAAAATAAGAAAGATTCCTGTAGAGCGCTCTGTATTATCCCTAGCACAGAAGAAGCCCTCTATTAACGGGTTCTTTAGTTGCCAGCAACAGAACCACTTGTGGCTAACAAACAAAATAGAGAGAAAACTGAACTTACAAAGCCTCAGAAAAGACAGGGATCAGGGCTTCTGCAGGGATCTAGGGAGCAGAAACTAAGGGACAATTTCATCAGAGTGCTGCTAGCAGGATCTTTAGGTCATTCTAATCACGTTTATTCTCAAGGGTGAAAGAAGCTGACTGGCCTAGCTTGGGTCACCTACCCACACTCAATGAGGGAGCTCTAATTGAGCAGAAAAAAAATGTGCCCTGGTGTCCCCCAAGCAGGTCTCACTCATCTGATCAGCATCACTTTTATATCCAGCCAGTGATCCTTATGACTTTTGCATATGTGACTGCTGCCATAGGCCAGTGCAGCTTTACTTTTTTTTTTTTTTTTTTTTTTTTGAGACGGAATTTCACTCTTGTCACCCTGGCTGGAGTGCAAGGCATGATCTCAGTTCACTGCACCCTCCGCCTTCTGGGTTCAAGCAATTCTCCTGCCTCAGCCTCGTGAGGAACTGGGATTACAAGCATGCGCCACCACACCTGGCTAATTTTTTATTTTTAGTAGAGTTGGGGTTTCTCCACAATGATCAGCCTGGTCTCGAACTCCCAACCTCAGGTGATCCACCCACCTCAGCCTCCCAAAGTGCTGGGCTTATAGGCATGAGCCACCATGCCTGGCCAGCTTTACTTATTAAATGTCAAAATCACAGAACGCTTTTTCTTTTTTGAGATGGAGTTTTGCTGTTGTTACCCAGACTGGAGTGCAATGGCATGATCTCGGCTCACCGCAACCTCCACCTCCTGGCTTCAAGCAATATTCCTGCCTCAGCCTCCCGAGTAGCTGGAACTACAGGCGTGCACCACCATGCCCAGCTAATTTTTGTATTTTTAGTAGAGATAGGGTTTCATCTTGTTGACTAGGATGGTCTCGATCTCTTGACCTCATGATCCACCTGCCTCGGCCTCCCAAAGTGCTGGGATTATAGGCGTGAGCCACCGCGCCTGGCCTGAACCCTTTTTTACAAAGTTTTGGAAACGATGAGAAAATTCAGGTGAAGACTAGCTTTTAAATAATATTAAATTATTTTGAGCTTTGTTAGTGTGAACATTCATCAACCCTGTGTTTTTAATAGTCTCCATTAGAGATATCTATTGAAGTAATCACAAGTGAAGGGAAAAAAAGAATCTCAGAAACTTCGAGGAGAAAGCAGACATTGAGTTCTACTAATCTGACCTAGGATTTGTTTAGGGCAGGGAAATCTCTTCCTCTGGAAAGGCCTTCCCCTCCTGAGACTACTCTAACTTTTAAAAAGATGTTTTATAGGTTAATCCACAATCCTTCACATGTCTTTTGCCATGGTTTTGCTTATTGAAGCAATAGAGAACACACGTACCTCAGTGTATGTTAACATTTTGGTGAAAATGGCACACTTGTCTTGTTTCTCTGCCTATTTTTTGCATGGTTGAGATGCCCACAGTTACTAAGGATTCAGCTTTAAGCTGGGTGCTGGTTGAGTGAACTGGGAGCAGCAGCCTAGGAAGAAATGTTAGTTAAGAGCGTCGTCCAGAGTCAAAGTCATTGTCCCAAACCAAGACCTAGCTCCGCCACGTAGGCAGATCTCTAAAACTCAGAGTCTGCATCTGTGAAATGAGGGTCATCATAGGTCCCTCCCCAAGGTGGTTGCGATCATTAAATGAGCGAACAATCAGAAAGCACTTAGCACATTGCTAGGCACCTTAGCAAGAGCTCAGTTAGCTGGGATCCTGCTGCCACCCTTCATTTAGGCTGCCCACTGGAAGCCTGCTCATATTATCTTCATTGATAGGGATACAAATGCATGGGAAAGCCAAGAAAGCAGGAAAGAAAGCAGACCACCTAGTTGAACTGGAAAGTTCTTGGAGATGCACAGAAACTTGTGTAACATGGGTCATCTTAGCCCTTAGCAGCAGCCAATCTGTTACACCTCACTTTGGTGTTTGGTGTCTGCCATCACAGCGACTCGGCTACCCTGCTTCAGTCCATCAACCCTTGCTGTGGACTCTTGTCCCTCTCTACTTCATGTTGTTATCCAGGCTGGAGTGCAATGGCGCGATCTCGGCTCACCACAACCTCCGCCTCCTGGCTTCAAGCAATATTCCTGCCTCAGCCTCCCGAGTAGCTGGGACTACAGGCGCGCACCACCATGCCCAGCTAATATTTGTATTTTTAGTAGAGACGGGGTTTCATCTTGTTGACCAGGATGGTCTCGATCTCTTGACCTCATGATCCACCTGCCTCGGCCTTTCAAAGTGCTGGGATTATAGGCATGAGCTACCGCACCCGGCCTGAACCCTTTTTTACTTGGCTTCTGCTGCCTCATGATTTCTGCTTAGTGCCTTTCTCTGCCTCCATTGAATCCCCTGGCCTGCCTCTCAGTCTCTACGAGACCATGTGCAATTAGTTGGCTCATTCATCATGCAATATAAAATGCATCTGTTGAGTAGCACGTGCTCCTTTCCAGGGCACCTCACCACCTGACATCTCGGCTGCCTTTGAGCCAGGTGACTCTCCTAGTCCACGCAGCAAGGCTCAGGGTAGAAGGAAGTAGACTGATGGGAGAGGAGAATACCATCTACCCAAAAGGAAGAGCTGAGACAAAATTAATATAGAGAGCTTATTTCGGACAAGGTTGAGGACTGCAGCCCAGGACACACTTCCAAGTTGCCTTAGGAAGTGCTCTGGAGAAGAGGTCCAAGTGTTTAAAGAAAAAAAGGGCAAATCAGGAAAGGGGACAGTTACTAAAGTAGTTCGTCAGGAATTAAATCTCCTTGTTTACAGAAGTAACATTGATCAGTGATTGGCTATACATTGTTTTTGGGTTTTGTTTTGTTTCATTTCATTTTTGAGATAGAGACTCACTCTGTTGCCCAGGCTGGAGTGCGGTGGCGTGATCTCGGCTCACTGCAGGCTCCGTCTCCCAGACTTAAGCAGTTCTCCTACCTCAGCCTCCCAAGTAGCTGGGATTACAAGCACCTGCCACCATGCCTGGCTAATTTTTGTATTTTTAGTAGAGACAGGGTTTCATCATGGTGACCAGGCTGCTCTTGAACTCCTGGCCTCAAGTGATCCAGCTGCCTCGGCCTCCCAAAGTTCTAGGATTACAGGCGTCAGCCACTGAGTCCGGCCTGGCTATACAAAATTAAGCTACAAGATGTGGGTTATAGTGTCCAGGGCAGTGGATGCTAATGTGTCTGGTGCAGCTAGTTTTGACAATAGCAAGCAGTTTCCAGAGAAACATACATAGGTCCAGGGGGGAAGAAGGAGTTGACTGCTGTCTCATTTTAATGCCTCTCTGGACCTGATAAAAGAACTAAAGTTCCTCAGATAAAAGTTTTGTTTTTTCCTCAGAGGTAATAGAAAAGACACAAACTAAGTAATTTGCCCAAGGCTATGCAGCTAATAGATGGTGGACATGAAACGCCACATCTAGATCTTTTGGATTCCAAAGCCTATTTTTCCCCCAACTCCTCATTCCCTTTACCACCTTTGTACTTAATTTTCTCTTCTTATAAATCTGACACTCCTCCATCTTCATTAACCTCACTTATAAGTGAGATAAAAGCTTATAAGTAAGGTTATAAAGGATTCGTTTTCTTTCTGGAACTTCCCTTGATGACTCAACATTAAAGGGTGGAATGTTTCGAATGATTTTACCATCTCAGTGATAAAATCTTTCACAGCCCTTTCAGCTGCACTTATTTATCAAAGGTGTCATCATTGCAGAAAGGGGGAAAAAGAGAAGCGAAGGGCCAAGCTCCAACGTGAGTCCGCAGAGCTAAGGATGGGTTCACCTGGCCACTTCCTAGCCTGGATTTACCTTCACTCTCACTGATCTGAAAGTAAATTCCCTTTCCGACTGAAAGCACTGAGCTGTCTTGGGGCCTGATGGCTCTTCATGCATTATTCATCTAGCAAATCTCCAGAACTTGAGGAAAACTTCAGGGCCTCCGCATGCCCACTCGCCCACCACAGAGCACCAGCGTTTGCAAGCCGGTCAGTACAGGATTATGAAAACAGAGTTGTTAAAGGCTCAGCCTCCTTCCCTCTCCACCCAGGAGCTGTCAGAGCTCTCCTGAGAGAGGGGCCTGCCTGTGACCTGTGGTCTCACAGATTGAAACAGCAAAATCCTAGAGAGGGAGTGAGGCTGTGAGGCCCAGAATACCCTGATTTGCATGAGAAAAGACCAAGATTGATGGCTGCTGAGAGCTTGGCTTTGAGCCAAATGAAAACCCAGGGCCTGGAAGGATGGGAAGGAAGAAAGGAGGGTGTAATTGAAACTCCCCCAGTGGATGGGGGTCAGGTAGGTGTGAGGCCCTCAGGAACCTCTGTCTAAAAACCACCGAGCCTCAAGCAGGCTTTCGGGTTCAGTTAGGTAGTGCTTGCTCAGCCGACTTCAACTTTCCACTCTGACTTCACCTGGGCTTTGTTTTGAAGCTGTCTGAGGTCTTATGAACTCCCAGAACATGTTTCAGAGAATGAGCAACACAGATAAAAGTTTGGTTTTGGTTGGATACCTTTTGGAGTTCCTCTTTAACTCACCTTGCAAGACAGAAAAACATTCTGAAAGAGATTTTATCTGCAGGGATGCACACACACATCAATCCATCCTGCACATACATGTGGTGCACATTTATTTTAAAAAGGAAAAGAAAGCACAGCTATCCTCAGGCTTTTCAAAATTCTCACTCTGCTTTTGGGGAACACTGAATGAGGAATGCTGAGCGATGAAAATAAATCTGAAGGAACAAACTCCTCTGCTGTTTTTCAGGTTTTACATTGAGAGCATATCGTTTTTAAAGGATAAAACCACTGTGGAGCTGTTTTTCCTGAATGCAAAGGCCTGCGTGCACAAGGTAGGTGGCCCATTTGTCGTGTTCACTGGATGGCTCCATAGTGACTGGGATGACAGGGCGAAATGGTTCTGCCTCTGTTCTTGCATTCAAACTAAGAAAAAAAAAGGCCACAGTCTTTTCCATAAATATGTCTCATCACCTGCTACACACATACACAAATGGCACCTTTTCTCAAATTCTGAGTTAAAAGGGCAACCATCTGCAGAGGAATCTTGCATACACACAATCACCACTACTTTATTTACTTTTTTTAAATTGCATTTTAGGTTCTGGGGTACATGTGAAGAACACGCAAGATTGTTGCATAGGTACACACATGGCAGCGTGATTTGCTGCCTTCCTCCCCTCCACTTATATCTGGCATTTCTCCCCATGCTATCTCTCCCCAACTCCCCACCCCACCCTGCTGTCCCTCCACTATTTCCCCCCAACAGACCCCAGTAATCACCACTACTTTAAATGCAGCAAATAATCTGCACAGTGACCCAGAGAGACACAAAGATGGATCAATCAGATTATAATCAAAATGTCTAGCCAGAAATCTTTTTAAGTGAGGTATGCTCTACACTGACAATAATTCACAACTAGCCTTATTTCAGTTCAATTTCTGCCTTCTGATCCCTACACACATGCCACTTCAAATCTAAGGAAGGAAGACTGCTCATAGCCACATGTTTTCAAGCAGTATCTCAGTTATCTGTGGTAAGGGACCAGGATTTTTCTTTTATTGTTTTTTATTTCTATCTAATGCATCAAGGACAGATCACTTTAGTAAAAATCAATGAACATGCATTGCTAGAAAAACAATCCCATGCTGGAATGTTGCAGCCATGTCGAATTGCTATAAAAGTTTTTAAACACTCTCAGTTTTTGTCTTATCTCTTTGCAGACTAGCATAGCTTTAAAAGCCTCCGCTCTGGTCTCCTGAAAGCACTTCCCGAGGAAGGGAAGGGAAGCCATGGGCCAAGAGGTGCCCAGTGGAGCCAGGATCCTCCCTTGTAGGTTCTGATCTTAATGCTTGGGATCTCAGCATACCCAGTCCAGATTGCATATCTGCTTCCAGGCCTTCTTTTAGGTTTCTTGAGCATGTTATGACTTCATTTTACCTCTTTTGTTGGATTATTAGCTATAACTCTTTGTTGGTTACTTTAGGGTTTATAGTATACATCTTTAACTTATCAAGTCTGCCTTCAAGATGCTATTATATTACTTCACATGTAGTATAAGAATCTTACAATAGAATACTTCCATTTCTCTCCTCTCAGCATGTATGCGATTGATGTCATACAGTTTACCTTTAGGTAAGTTACAGATACACATGACATTATTATTTTTGTGTAAATATTTAATTAAAGAGATTTAAGCAGTACCAAAAGTCTTACATACTTACCCATGAAGTTAGCATTTCTATTGCTCTTCATTCGCTTACATAGATCAATATTCCTGTCTGTTATGATTTTCTTTCTGCCTGGAGGACTTCTTTAGCATTTCTTATAGTGTGGGCCTACTGGTGGTGAATTCCTTCAGCTTATATCTGAAAACATCTTTATTTGCCTTTGGTTTTAGAAGACATTTCATATAATATTTGACTCCGTGTTGGCAGTTTTTCACTTTCCATACTTTAGAAATACTGATTCACTATCTTCTTGCTTGCATTGTTTCTGATGAAAAGTCTGCTGTCATCTCTATCTTTGTGTTTCTGTATGGAATGTCTTTTTCTTTGGCTGCTTTTAAAATTTTCTCTTTTCTCTGCTTCGAGCAATTTTTTTTTTTTTTTTTTTTTGAGATTGAGACTTGCTTTGTCACCCAGGCAGGAGTGCAGTGGTGCAATCTCGGGTCACTGCAACCTCTGAGTCCCAGGTCCAAGCAATTCTCCTGCCTCAGCCTCCTGAGTAGTTGGGACTATAGGTGTACACGACTGCACCTGGCTAATTTTCATATTCTCAGTAGAGATGGGGTTTCACAATGTAGGCAAGGCTGAGCTCGGCCTCCTGATCTCAGGTGATCCACCTGCCTCAAGCCTCCCAAAGTGCTGGTATTATAAGTGTGAGCCACCACCGTGCCTGGCCAGCTTTGAGCAATTTTATTATGAGGTACCCTGGTATAGTTTTCATCATGTGTTTGTGTATGTGTGTGTGTCAATGGCATTTATTGAGCATCTTGGACCTTTAGGTTTATAGTTGTCATCAAATTCAGAAACTTTTTAGCCATTATTTCTTCAGATTTTTTTTTTTGTCTTCACTTACACCTCATTTGCAAAGCCCAATTTCGCATATACTAGGCCACTTGAAACTGTCACACAGTGATGCTGTGCATTTGAGGGGGTTTGGGGGAATATGATACCTTGTATAGTTTCTCTTGCTCTGTCTTCAGTTTCACTCATCTGTTTTTTTTTGCAATCTAATCTACCATTAATCCCATTTTGTATATTAGAGTTTTTATCTTTAGAGGTTTGATTTGGATCTTTTTACATCTTGCATGTGACTATTTACCTTTTTGAACATATTACATGTAGTTATGATCATTGTTTTAATGTCTTTGTCTGCTTATACTAATGTCTGTAGTTCTGGGTATTTTTGATTGATTTTTGTCATTGTTATGGGTCATGTTTTTCTGCCTATTTGCATGCCTGGTAATATTTGATTGGACATGCTACACATTATTAATTGTATCTTTTTGAATGGCATATATTTTTTGTATTCCTATATTATTGACATTTGTTTTGGGATGCAGTTTAGTTACTTAATATGGTTTGTTTTTTTCAGGCCTTGCTTTTGTGATTTGTTAGCCTAGCCCAGAGCAGCGCTCATTCTATAGCTAATTGTTCTGCATACTCATCTTCCTGAGTACTCTATTCAATACCCCATGAATTATAAGCTTTTTAGTCTGGCTGGTGGGAATAGGTATCCCTCCAGCCCTGTGTAAGGATGAGGCACTCTTCCCTCTTATCCTTTCAGATGGTCTCAAACTTTGGGTAGTTTCTTTTCATGCACAGAATGATCAGTGCTCTACTGAATCCGCAAAGGAGACCATCTGTAGATTTTCAGGGTTCTCTCCCTTTGCGACTCTCTTTTGTCTGGCACTCTGTTCTGCAAATTATATTCATTTTGATCTCCTGGACTAAGGAGTTGCTCTATTTCCTCAACTCAGGGAGTGAGTTCACTGTGTTCCATTGTGTTTCTCCCTCCACAGCCTGGAGCCCTCTCTTGACAGTAGTGGGGGCAGTCATAGGACTCTCGCCTTGTTCAAGGATCACTATCCTTCATTGCTGGATGTTCAGTGTTATAAAAACTGTTGTATTATATATTTTGTCTTTTTTTTATTTTTTTCAGTTAAGAAGATAAATTCAGTCACTGTTACTCCATCTTGGCCAGGAGTATAAATATTCAAAGAAGAGTTTTTGGCTGAGTCTATGGGGAAAACAAAATGTTCCCAGTATCAAAGTCTTTACTACAGCCCTCTTTTCTGAGACTCAGATTTTCCTAAGAACTCTAAGGGTTGACTGATGAGTAGACACCTATATAGCAAACACAGCTTTTCAAACACAGTGTTTACTGAGTCAGAACACGTTTCATAAACCACAGTTTGCCATCGTCTCCTATGTGGAGATATACAATTGCTCCTTGTAATATTTTTCACTGCCTAGTTGCGATTGATCCAGTGTTTTCTCTGTTGCTAATGCAAAGATGGTTAGGATGCAGATTTTTAACTCATGACATTTCTCTTGTATGCTAAATTCTGTTTGTCTTGAGAAAGCAAGGAAAAGCAGAATTCCTTTAAATGCTATTGCATTTTATGAATGTCAGTTGCTGGGAGCTCTTTTTTTTTTTTGAGATGGAATTTCACTCTTGTTGCCCAGGCTGGAGTGCATCGGCGCTATCTCTGCTCACTGCAACCTCCGTCTCCTGGGTTCAAGCAATTCTCCTACCTCAACCTGCTGAGTAGCTGGGATTACAGGCGCCTGTTACCATGCCCAGCTAATTTTTTGTATTTTTAGTAGAGATGGGGTTTCACCATGTTGGCCAAGCTGGTTTCAAACTCCTGGCCTCAAGTGATTTACCTGCCTTGGCCTCCCATAGTGCTAGGATTACAGGCATGAGCTACCATTCCAGGCCTGAGAGCTCCTTTCTAAATGGGAGTGTTTCATGACTTGTCAAAGGATTTAGACTATTACAGTACATAATATTATAAGGCACTGTGACTGCTATTGAGATATTTTTTAAATTTTTATTTGTAGGAATTTAGAGTTGGATATTTTCTATCTAATTATTATGCAGATGGCCGGGCACAATAGCTCATGCCTGTAATCCCAATACTTTGGGAGGCCAAGGCGGGTGGATCACTTGAGGTCAGGAGTTCGTGACCAGCCTGGCCAACATGATAAAACCTTGTTTCTACTAAAAATACAAAAATTAGCCAGGCATTGTGGGGGCACCTGTAATCCCACCTACTCAGGATGCTGAGGTGGGAGAATCGCTTGAACCTGGGAGGCAGAGGTTGCGGTGAGCCAAGATCACATCACTGCACTCCAACCTGGTGACAGTAAGAGACTCCGTCTCCAAAAAAAAAAAATTATGATGGAGATGACTGTTAACAAATTCCAAAAGATATTCCAGGATCAGGCAGCTGTTTGGATGAAGTAGCTTTCAAGTAATTTCTTAAGATGTATGATTATTTGAGAACATTCCACATAAGGAATATCATCTGAACCGTGGCCACAGAAGCAAATAAGTTTTATGAGAACATAGTCTCAGCTGTGGAACACTCGTAGGTGGATTTATTGATTGGCAAAAGTGAGTCACTGGTGGTTGGTAGCTGCTGTTAACTCAGAACTCTGCTAGATCTGAGAGTGAACGCGCCCCTTCCCCCCACTCCACACGGCACAGAGGACATTCTTCTCACCAGTAAGATGTTCAACACCTCTGATCACACCCTACACACACTTTTTTCCTTGCCAGGCATCGTTCCCCTACAGCTAGCTCCTTCCTTCCACTGAGAAT